TCAACTGCTTTGTAGGTTACGGTCAGAAGCCATACAGAAAAAGTTGTTATCAGAGACGGAACTGGATTTCGATAAAGTGGTCAAGATTGCGTATGCCATGGGAACGGCTGAAAAAGACACATTGGCATTTTTGACTCCTGATCAAGTGTCAGAAAATTGGCCATATAGCAAAGAAGTGTCACATGAAAAAAAAATCAGAAACATCAACACTGTTTGTGGCTAAGCCAGATGATGAGACATCAGATTCATCAGACAGCATTTGTTCTATTTTCTGTACCAATGAAAAAGACCATAGCAGAAGGAAGTTGACGGTGAACATAACAATGGGAGATGAAGAGGTAGAATTTTTAATTGACACCGGGAGTGTTCGTACCATTGTAGGTGAGGCAGTTTACCAGAGATATTTAGAGCATTTCAAGCTCACAAAAACAGATACTGTACTTCGTTCATATACGGGAGATGAAATCGGGCTGCTGGGACTGTGTCATGTTCCTGTAAAGTACCAGGATCAAGAGTTCGTTGAGCTACCATTGCTAGTTGTCCAAGGACAGCGACTAAGTTTACTGGGGAGGGACTGGCTGTGGTATGTCGGATAGATGACATTCTCATTACAGCGGCGGATGATACTACTCACCTGAATAACCTTCGAGAAGTATTTCTACGTTTGCGAAAGCATAACATTAAGTTGAAAGCAGAGTAGTGCGAGTTTTTTGCAGACCAAGTGGTTTATATGGGGTTCCTGCTAGATCACAATGGAGAACACCCAACAGAAGAAAAGGTTAAGGCCATAAATGATGCACCTTGACCTACTGGAGTAAAGGAGTTAAAAGCTTTTCTTGGGTTGTTGAATTACTATGGTGCTTTTCTGCCAAACTTAAGTACTGAGTTAAACCCACTCCACAAGTTGTTAAAGATGCATGAACCGTGGAATTGGACGGCTGACTGTGAGGAGAGTTTTAATGTTTGTAAAAAGATGATCACTGAGAGTAAACTTTTAGTGTTTTACGACTCCAAGAAACCTCTCCGATTATCGTGCGACTCATCTTCCTATGGAGTTGGAGCAGTAATATCGCATGTAATGAAAGATGGCTCAGAGAGACCCATAGCTTTTGCCTCCAGAACACTGAGTGAAACCTAGAGACGGTATGCTCAAATAGAAAAAGACGCACTGTCATTAGTCTTTGGAGTAAAGAAATTCCATAAGTACTTGTTTGGACGCAAATTTACATTGGTAACAGATCACAAACCGTTGTTGTCAATTCTGGGACCGAAAAAAGGGTGTTCCCCCATTAGCTGCAGCCAGAATGCAACGTTGGGCACTGATACTGGCTGCGTATCAGTATGACATTCAGTACAAATCATCTGAACAGCATGGTAATTGTGATTCCTTATCGAGACTTCCACTACATGAGACAGAACAGGAGGATACAGAAGAAGGAGTATTTTCATTGGATATGTACTTACCCATCTCCAGTCAGGAGATAGCTATGGCTACCCGAAGAGACCCGATTCTGTCCAGGGTGTATGATTTCACTCTGAATGGCTGGCCAGCTCATGTAGAGGATTCTGATTTGCAGCCTTTCTTTGATAGAAGGAATGAGCTTACACTGGAAAAGGGATTGCTCTTGTGGGAGATGCGAGTGGTCATTCCAGACAAGTTTAGAGGTCGCTTGTTGCTAGAGCTGCATGATGAATATTTAGGAATGTCTCGAACAAAAGCCTTAGCCAGGGGGTATCTTTGGTGGCCTTATTTAGACAGGGACATTGAAGACATGGTTGAAAGATGTTCAGCTTGTGCATCTACTAGGAACACTCCAAAAGAAAGCCCCCTGCATCCTTGGATTTGGGCTTCTAGACCGGGGCAATGAGTGCATATAGATTATGCAGAATATAAGGGGCAGTCCTTTCTTGTTATTGTCGACAGTTATTCAAAATGGCTGGAAGTCATACCAGTGAAGTCCACCACAAGCAGCAATACCATAGAGAAGTTAAGAACATGGTTTGCCTCAGTTGGAATACCTGAAGAAATAGTGAGTGACAATGGGCCCCAGTTGACATCTTCTGAGTTTCAAGACTTCATGAAGCACAGTGGAGTTAAACATACACTTGTACCGCCCTATCATCCTCAGTCAAATGGGTTGGCTGAAAGAGGAGTACAGATTCTAAAAAAAGAATTAAAGAGGCAAGATTTTGATGGTCAGAGAAGGTCTCTTCAGCAGCGCCTTGCCAACTTTTTGTTAAGGTATCGCATAACTCCACATAGCACTACTGGTATATCACCTGCAGGACTATTTCTTAAGCGCCAGTTAAGAACCCGGTTGAGTTGCATTAAACCTAATCTTCGGGAGTCGGTGGAGGAGAAACAGCAAAAGATGCAAGAACAACAAGATGGTGGACAGTGTAAAGTCAGGGAATTTCAGGGAGGAGAACAAGTTCAAGTGAAAACAACTATTCCAGGACAAAAATGGAAGTGGATTTCTGGTGTGATTCATGGAAAGTTAGGACCATTAACTTATCTTGTGCGAATTGGAAAACGCATTCGCTATTGCCACGTAGATCATTTATTAGCATCGTCTGCTACGATGCTGGAGCCGGAACTTACACCGCTGCCCTTTGATGTAGAGTTACCCTCTTTTAAGGAGCCAGGAATGGATCGGGCCTTAATGTCTGCAGATGAAACAGGAAAGGGAACTCCTGAGATGGTGGAAACTCAAGAAAAACTTGCGGACTTTGTAAACAAGTATACAAAGGTGCCTGATCAGACATGCAGTGCCGGAACGACGTTATCCACTCAGGATGAGGAAACCCACTAAAAAATTGGACTTATCGAGCGAAATCGTTGGTAATCTGTGCTGCATGTTGCAGTTCTTATGACAATGCAAAATTAATCATTACTTTGTATGTCCAGATAGGATTTATTCATCTTTTGTATTTTTTATTATCTTTTTTATAAAAGGGGAGGAGTGTAATGTGTTTGAATTGGGATCAGGCTCGGGGTACTTAAAATATAGAAGAGAAGCTTCGGGAATAAATGTCGCATGTTTATCATGTTTTGACTTTTTGGGCCAAGCCTAGACTAGTTAATATATTACAAAGAGAAGGTAGTGTTTTCATGTATGAAGTTTTTGATAAAAAGGTAGGACACAATAGATAGGCCAAAGTTTTCCTCAAATTCATTTTTTCTGAAACTTTGATATTTTGTTCTAGGATACAAAATCTCTCTTTAAATATGATAAGAAAAAAATTCAACCACACATTATTTGCCCACATAATCTGAAATATGGCCTATTAGAACCCTGTAAGAAGTTTGTGAAATCAGATATTCGACTTGAGAATGAGCCTTATTATAGAATTATCAATTAATCTAAATTGCACTTTTGTGTAATACTTTTTTGTTACTTTAAATCAGTAAGTCATATTGATAATGGAAAATTTTAGTAAGATATTAAGTAAAAATAAAACAAACGTAGTGTCGGAATTAAAAATTCACATGTAAATATTCGACAGATTAAGTTTTCTTAATAGAAAATGTATGATTCAATTTTTACAAAACATCAACAAAATGATTCAAATGGGTCCTAGAATAAAATGTGCTAAAATAAAAAAAATTGAACCAGTGGTTTTAGATACTTTGGCGATCAAAAAAATTTCAATGGCAAAAAAACTAAAAGATTCAGTAGATGACGTCTCAATATTTGACTTTTGACCTCTTGATAAGACCTTGACCTTTGCAGTACATAAAGAATGGAAACTCCTTATTTATGTATTTAAATATCATCCCACTACTATCACCCCTACTAATGTTATTGTTATTTAAATTTATATCACGTGGTTTCTCTTGAACTAGTCAAAGGTCATTAGGTTCGCAGTAAAGGAGAACGTTCACACCTATAGTCTGTTTTCTGTATATATAACTCAGATCTTGACAAACCAGTTACGAGCAAATTCTTTATTATACAGTTATAGATACACATCAAATGTTAACAAGATTTCTGTTCTCATGGTTCAGGAACATTTAATACTTAGGGTTCCATTATCCAATAAATCCATCCAGGCATGGAAAGGGGGGGGGGGGCTTGGAGTTACTGTATTTGGATTTCAGAGCTAGTGCTATAAGTATAATTTAAATTAATACTAAATGATACAAAAATATTTTTTAATGAATACTGAAATACACGCAATCTGACTCAGAAACTCAGAACCTGGATCCCTAAACATGTCAAGTTGGTTAGACATGCAGGAAATTAAAACCCCCCTCTCCACCCCAAAAAACACAATTTCTTCTCTTTTTTCCAACTTCTTTTTATTTGGAAAGGAGGGATGAGACCCATCCATCCTGCTTCTCAATATTTTTTTCTCCCATTTTCATACTTTTTTTAAAACCCTATCTCTATGGTCAAGGAATTTTTTGTCCACATGAGTGGTGGGGGTGGGCTGTTAAATACCAACACCCTTAGTCAGAATCATAAAATCATAAAAATGGGGGGGGGGGGGTTAAAAAAAAACATGTATGAAAATACACACACACAAAAATCTAATTTCCTAGTCATACCTAGAATGATTAAGCAAACTTCAAAACCTAACCCTTTTAAATCTAGCTGACTGTTACATGTAGGTGTCACTTGATCATGATCTTACACAAAGTTAGTATATCCCTGTCCCCAATGTCAAGTTTGGCTAAAAATATTCACGTATCTTTACATTGTGTCTTTTTCATAGACCCAAAAGCATTTAAATAAATATCTAGAATATATACATGTAAGCTCTTTTTACAACCAGTTCCTTTTAACTGAGATCATATTTGAGAAAAGATCCAACAAGATGTTTTCTAAATATAAGTTTTACCATATAAAATATATTTCTATATTTTAATCTCACTCTGTAAAATATTTTGAACCCCTAGCTGTATAAGCAAACCACTTCTGGCCACAGCTCCAATGAACAAGGTTCAATACATATAATTATGTCATGATATAAAAATACTTTTTAATATTAGCACAGCTTATTTCAACATCATTAATACTGGTAAGAAAAGCAGATACTGGACACAATGAGGACATTTCTAAAACATATAAAATAAATTTATCTCTTTGATTTTTGTAAAACAGACATGCATATATCATTCAGATTTTTTTTTACATTGTGAACAAGGGCAATAACTCTTTGGGAAGATCAATTATTTGTACAAATATACATGTGTGAAATATAGATGTACATGTATTAAACCCATTTACTCTTCAAAACAAGACCTTTCCCATGTTCCAAAATTAAATTTATTACATAGAATGCACTACAAATCTAAGGTTAAGGGAGATAGTTCAATAAAAAGCAATATGAGCCGCAATTCAAACTTCATAAAACCTTGAAATTTGAAACTTTCATATTAAAACATCTTTGGTGTAAAATTGAGTTCATTACTCCAGTATTTCAATGACAGTAAAAGAAAGGATTATAAACTTCTATTATCCATACATGTATTTACATTAGAAAGTCTTTTTAGGAAATTCTGATTAAAAAAAAAAATACATCTTTTATCCTTAAAAAAATTGATTCCTACACAATATCATTACATTTGATATAAACATTGCAAGCTTTATACAGTTTTAAAATAAGCCATTATACTTATATACAACAAAATACTTAGTATTCATTGTCAACCACTTCTAAAATTGGATCAGTATCATTTCAACCAGAGAATAAAATCATTCAAAATTGATCGCCATCATTTTGGGCTCATTACATTTGTTTCTGCGAGCCTCTGTTTCATTCAGCAACTGTTCTTTATTTTCTGTGTAAAAAATACAACGTCTCCACTCCAATCTTAAGGCAGTGCTGATATGCTGTCATCTTTTATAAATGCATGATCTGGATTTGAAAAAAATCAAACATCAATTCAAAGATTATATATGTACATACTGCAGATTCCTTATTTTTTGTGAGTACTTATTATTGCGAAATAGCTCTTAAAAACATTAAATCGCAAGACTATATATTTGTGAATGGGCGGTTGATAAGGAGAATGTGCATAGGTTTCAGTACCATAAAAATTTTATTTCGCAAGTGATGCTACATGCAAAATTGCAATAATAAATTCCTTGCATTTAACAAGGAATTTACAGCATATCACATCAGTCTGTTGTTGTATACATAAAATTTAGTAACTTTTAAAATAATTGCACAATAAATTGTGTAAAATGTACTCAGATTTATCATTGACTATAAGCCTATATGGACCACGATGCTCTTCTGAGACATGTCAATTGAAAATAAAATACAACCATATTTTCCTTAAACATGTTAAAAATGACATTCTACACATGAAAAGTTCGACTAATCCTTAGGTGAAGTTCATTCAAAAAAGAAGTCACAATAATAAGTCAGATTATATTTCTGTGTAAAAAAAAGAAATATCCAGTCAGTGTCAAATTAGAATATAGGGGTGGATACATTTAATATTTTGTGAATTAATTTGTGCCATTTCTTTTCAGGAATTCCAGATTTTAATTCAGAAGCACTCATGTATCCACTCCTCTAAATGTGCAGATCTGAATCTGCAAAAATGACTGCAAAGTTTTGCATGAATATGAGATTGTCATTTTTAATTTCATCTTACCATTCTCCTGAAAATATTTTGCCTTCAATTGGTTTGGGACAAATATGAATGTACCTAACAAGAATCAGTTTTCAAAAGTATAATGTACATCTATTTGTAAGTTCTGGATATTAGGAGATATTAGGAGGAGTTCAAATTTGTTAATAGTAATATCAAATGCATCATTTTCTTGAAGTTTCTTGAAATTTCTTGAAGAAAATCACTGATCTTATTAAATCAAAACCTAAATCTTTGAAAAGCCATCCTCCCATTTGAAATACAAATTCCAACATCCAATTTAAAAATACTGAACATCCTCCCCAATGTGACATGTACATTTTCATATGTTCATTTTCGAATTAAATAAATAAGAAAAAAGTAAAGCATTCTGCAAATTTATCTATCATTTCATACAATCAGCCTCTTAAAAAGATTTTAAAATTTCTTAATGGACAAAGGGCATACTTTAAATACATGTCAGATAATGACTGCATGTGTTGAACTTTTCTTAATATAATACTAGTATGCAATATCATACCAAAATTCTGCATGCATGTTCAAAATCAACAATACTACCTTGATTTCCCTGTCCAACATGTTCCATTTCAATGGTTCCTTTTCCTCATCTTTCAAGAGTTTTAAGAGGTTTCAATATCCACATCCACAAAGGTTTAAACCAGCTTCTTTGTCAAAAACACCTATATATAGAGTGAAATATTAAGGCATTTGAAATAGTGTGTATTATAACGTTAATTTCCATTCTTTGATGTCAAGGAAGTTAAGAAGGTCATGTGTAAGAAATTTATCAATGAATATTTCTTCAGGACTGAATTTTGTATTTGTCTGAATTAAAAAGCCATGAAGTAACAGAAAGCACTTACAGCTAAAATATTCATTTGTGTTTTGAGAATTTTGAGATGTACATCAGATACACCAGTTTATTACATTTTACATTTTAAACAGTGAAATACTGTAATTTATTCATTAAATAACAAGCTAATTCAGAGAATTTGTGTCCCCCGCTTAGGGAAAAAAGTAAACCAGTTCGCGGGTCGGGGGGTTGGGGGGTCGGATCCCCTTGACTGAATTTGTAGAATTATTAAATGTATACATGTATACTGAAGCAAATAAAATATGCCAATATGGATAGAAAGGTTTGATTGCTAATTCTTTATATTGTGTATTGAAGAGTCTTTTTATATGGAATATTTATCACATTGTTATGATGATTTTATGAGTTTGTACAAGCCAGACCTCATAAAATTTATTTCACATGCTGAATTTTATCATTTAGTAAAAAAAAACTATTTCGAAAAAAAAAAATACCAGCTCGACGGGGATGCGAACCCGGGTCCTTTCACATGTGAACCGAGCGACATAACCACTAGACCACGGCGCCGCTTTAAACTGATGTAAATTATATGCAAAGATAACGTCACATACATGTATATATATTCACGTTTGATGTTGTCAAAATTTTACACAATGCATGGTGTCTAATTTAACCTTCATTAAACAGTTCTATTAGATATAATAAGAATATAAAGTCCACCGAGAACCTGATTTATACGTAATAACTCGCCTCATGCCCCTATGCTAAAAATAGGGACATGTAATACAATAAATTTCAGTTGGATTTGCTATTGACCCGCTTAAAAGTCAGTACAATTTTTTGCCAAAATCTGGTGACAGTTTCAAGTAAATCCATTGATGTTTTAATCTGGTTTCAATTAATATTTTTTGAAATGACACTGACATTTAATCTTAAATTATAAAAAAAGGGGCAATGCTCACTTAAACACAGATAAAATTATTAAAATATGTAAATACCTGTACTTTATATATATAACCTAAGAATACATAAATTATCTTATATATTCAGACATTTTCTTTGATAATTGTCGGACATGCAAATAAGATACTACCTTTTAGCCTCCAGAAAATACCAATCTCTTTATGACTCGCCTATAAGTCAGACACGGAGTTTAAGGTAGGCCCGTACTTTCAAAATCTTCTGTCAAACTGATCATTTTTTAACTTGAATACCTTGAATAACTCATGAACTAACTAAAACAGCCGTAAAAGACATATCTTTGCAGGTTAATTTTCATACAACATGTCTCTGAGTACATACCTCTAAAAATTCAACAGCCAAAATTAAACATAGAGAATTGTGCTTTCATATTTTATGTAGCTATGCACCAAATCACATCAAATTTATATTAAAACTTGTGGAAACAAAAAACATTCATTTGCCAGGAGAATATTTGAAATCTTTCCTGGAAAACATTAACAAATTGATGTTGAATCTGTCCACGTCTTTAAGAATAAAATCTCAAAATATCTTTATTTTTAATAATTCTCAAAATCTAAATTGTTTACATGCCAGTTTTTCTTTAAAATTAGTAAGAATCATATCTAAGGTTAACAAAAACACAAACTTTATTATGATTGACCAGAAAAATTTAATAAAACGGCGATTTGAACACGTATACCCCCATTTTTGGAATATCAAGTTTTTCAATCATTTTTAACAAAATTTAAAACGAAAGTAAAATTTAAAAAGATATAGACCTAAAATCTATAAAAATAGATCTCAAGTTAGTTTGTTTAAAAAAATAAGAAGGGTTTATTAGGTTCATAAAGGCAATTAAGAATTTTGTGTCTGTATATGTGCTAAAAGCATATAAATCCTTTGGACAAAGTGTAAAGTGTTAATTTCCATAGTATATATTAAATGCTTTGTATTCAAATTGACACTATAATTAATAAATTTATACTTATTAAATTATTTTCAAGCAACCAAAATATTTTATTACAAAAAAGTGATAATCAGAATTTTATATTGGTGTGTAAAATTAAAACCGGATCCGTAAAAGTATGGACCTTCCTTAAGACCAATATTTAACTCCCAAAATACCGACTTATAGGTGAGTATATACGGTACGTTTCAGCTTTTTGGCCCAGTAGTTCCTGTGAAGAAGATTTTTAAAGTATTTTTTCTTTTTCTTTCAATTTAAAATATGTATTCCCATTGTGGCCCCACCCTACCCCTGGGGGTCATGATTTGAACAATTTACATTATACACTACCCTTGGATGCTTCCACATAAATTTCAGTTTTTTCTTGGCCAGACAATAGGTGATAAGAGAAACTCATTCAAGTTTTTTGCCCAGGTGAGCTAAAATCTTTATCTCTTTTGTCGCCCTACCTTTTGGGGCTTTGTACCCAAACCTCCAGGGCAATGATAACAATTAAATCTACATATGCTACATGTTTACATGTCAAGACAGCATTTATGTCTGGACTACGGGTATCCTTAGGAAGGAGGCATTGCATTTTCTTTAAACTTTTTTTCTTATAACCTTTATCATGCATGTTTATCATGTTTATTCCCTTGTTCAAGAATACTTTGTGCCAAGTTGGTTGAAAGTGGCCCAGTGGAGAATGTGAAAGTTTATATACAAAAATGACAACAAGGGCAACAATACTCACAATAAGTACACGTATATACAATAGACAAATTTTAATCAGAAACCCCCTTGAGCCTCTGGCCCTAGGGACTTACACTTTTGACAAATCCTGCTTTGTGTGTATTTTGAAATTACCTCTGTACATGTTTTTATGTCTCAGTGGACAGTTTCTTGATGTTCTTGAACAGATTTTCTTATTTGTTTGTGATCCTGACATCATCCTGTAGATGATAGATTGTCCAAATCTCTGTACCACTACTGTGATTCAATATATTAGGGGTATGACGGGCGACTGGCATACAGCACCAGAATATTGATGTAAAATAACATTCCTGTAGAGACCTGAAAGTCAAGGCTCAGTCTTAAAAGTTAATCAATATGAAGGCAAAAGTTGTACAACATTTGTAAATGATAAAACCATTTATGTAATATCTTATAGTGATCAAGATCTAGTAATTACTCAGTCCTTTTGTTGCTAGCTAGATCTATCAAGATCAAATCAATGATATGATTAAAATTCTGAATCATCTTTAATTTAAACTTACTTTTCCCTCTTCTTTATGTAGAAAATGAAGAATTTTCATGGAAAAATTTGAAATCAATCATGTCAAAAGTGAACTGAATGCAGTTTAAAATATATATATTACATGTACTGAGTTTACCTAAAAATTATTTCTCAATACACCTTTAATTACCAAGCTACAATATCATTGTAAAGGATCATTAACAGACTCATTTTATACCTCAAATTTTAGAATTCTGTTAAGGAACTTTTCATTTACTAAATTTTGACTTTTATAAAATGTGTGAACTAGCTAGCATAAAAGTATCATTTAAATTACTAGACAACAGCTAGCTTGTATATAAATTTGCATAAGAAAAGTCACATACGTAAGATGCCAAAAGTATAATTATTTGGTGTAGATGTTATTCATCATTATCAAAGGTTAAATCTTTAAAATTTGTCTCTAAGTGTCAGAACTTGTCCCTCCAGTATATTGCTATAAAATAACTTTTAATACCCAATTTAAGCAAAGTTTACTAAACAAATTTTGCAAAATTAAATTGTATGTGTATTTGAACAGGATTTGAACATGTTAAATTAGTAATCAGTTGGCCATATAAATATTGTAATATTCAGTGCTTTGCAAAAGATTATTTTTCCTCTTATTTATTAAATGTTCATGATGATAACTACAAGCACATACATTTATTTATCACAAAAATTATAAAACAGGTACACAGATTCAGGTGGGGAGGTGGGGATTTAGACACTAGCTCCCTCTAAAACACACACAATTGCAAAAAAAGTTTTAGATATGATGCGTATAGTTATGTTCCCCAAACGAAGTTGGGGAACATATTGTTTTTACTCTGTTTCTTATTAAGGTCTTCCGTCTTCAGCGGAAGACCTTACTGTTATTCTTAGGTTTCTTTTCCACTATTTTTATTAAGGTCTTCCGTCTTCAGCGGAAGACCTTATTGTTATTCTTAGGTTTCTTTTCCATTATTTTTATTAAGGTCTTCCGTCTCCAACGGAAGATCTTCTTGTTATTCTTCGGTTTCTTTTTCCCTATTATTATTATTATTATTATTATTATTATTTTTCTTACCGATTTTGTGCACGCGATTTCTCGTAAAGTACTGGACCGATTCTCATGAAACTTTCACATCTGATAGGTACTGATCTGAACCTTATTGGAAATTTTTTTCGTCGATGACGTCACTTCCGGTCGTAAGATATGGACAATTTTCTTTTTTTAAAATGCAATTTTGTCTTGATTTAGTAGCGAAAACTGCTTAAGATATGAACTGAAGATTAATTGGAGATGATAGTTCATGACTTATAGCGTTGCAGAATCGCCTTTTCGTGCGACGTCAATACTTCCGGTCGAAACCGGAAGCGAATTTAAAAAAACGAATTTTTCAACTTTTCTTTTATAATATTTTTGTTTTAGAATTGAATAGAGACCCTTTTGCAGAAGCCAAATACGTAATTTGTTTGAAAATCGAAAAAGCCAATCTCGAGATATTTGCATTTGAAAACGCGAAGCGGCGATCCCGATGGCCGAATGGTTAGCGCCTTGGATTGTCACGCGGGCGACCCGGGTTCGATCCCCCGTGTGACCAAAAAATTTTATCACTTCTTCTGCTCGTTTTTTCGATTTTTATTAATTTTAGACCATTTGCAACAACATATTTTCAACTTTTAAGCATATCTTACGTAATAAGGGGTCACAAGGGGCCAGAATGCTAAATCTATGACGCTTCATATCTTGAAAAGAAGGAATATTTTGATAAGCAATATTGAACAAAAGATGGTCAGAATAATATTCTTAACAATATGCATACTTTGAATTTTTGTAAAATGGCCCCATTAAGGACTTGTAGGGGTGGCCCCTTAATATTTCCATTCAGCATATCTCCCAAACGAAAAGAAATCTCTCAATAGGTGTTGAACAAAAAGTCTTTGAAATCACAAGACCTTTCATTTGATATAAAGAAAAAGGGTCTGACCCTTCAAATTAGGGGCTCAGAAGGGCCAAAAGTCTTTCATCTTTAACTCTTAAATGATCAATATTTTGTGATACATTATAGAAGCAAAGATATTCATCTTAACGATGTGCAACAATATATGATACAATTTGCATCATATGTTACGTAATTAGGAGTCACAAGGGCCAGAATGTCAGATCTTTGACGCTTTATATCTCAAAAAGGGGGAATATTTTGATAAGCAATATTGAACAAAAGTTGGTCAGAATAATGTTCTCAACAATATGCATACTTTGAATTTTTGTAAAATGGCCCCATTAAGGACTTGTAGGGGTGGCCCCTTAATATTTCCATTCAGCATATCTCCCAAACGAAAAGAAATCTCTCAATAGGTGTTGAACAAAAAGTCTTTGAAATCACAAGACTTTTCATTTAATATCAAGAAAAAGGGTCTGACCCCTCAAATTAGGGGCTCAGAGGGGTCAAAAGTCTTTCATCTTTAACTCTTAAATGATCAATATTTTGTGATACATTATAGAAGCAAAGGTATTCATCTTAACGATTTGCAACAATATATGATACAATTAGGACCATATGTTACGTAATTAGGGGTCACAAGGGGCCAGATTTTCAAATCTTTGACGCTTTATATCTCAAAAATGGGGAATATTTTGCTAAGCAATATTGAACAAAAGATGGTCAGAATAATATTCTAAACAATATGCATACTTTGAATTTTTGAAAAATGGCCCCATTAAGGACTTGTAGGAGTGGCCCTTAAAGATTTCCATTTAGCATATCTCCACAACGAATAGAAATCTCTGAATAAGTGTTGAACAAAAAAATCTTCAAAATTACAAGACCTTTCATTTGATATCAAAAAGGGCTCACTCCTCTAACTAGGGGCTCAGAGGGGCCAAAAGTCTTTCATCTTTAACTCTTAAATGATCAATATTTTGTGATACATTATAGAAGCAAAGATATTCATCTTAACGATTTGCAACAATATATGATACAATTTGCATCATATGTTACGTAATTAGGGGTCACAAAGGGCCAGAATGTCAGATCTTTGACGCTTTATATCTCAAAAAGGGGGAATATTTTGATAAGCAATATTGAACAAAAGTTGGTCAGAATAATGTTCTCAACAATATGCATACTTTGAATTTTTGTAAAATGGCCCCATTAAGGACTTGTAGGGGTGGCCCCTTAATATTTCCATTCAGCATATCTCCCAAACGAAAAGAAATCTCTCAATAGGTGTTGAACAAAAAGTCTTTGAAATCACAAGACTTTTCATTTAATATCAAGAAAAAGGGTCTGACCCCTCAAATTAGGGGCTCAGAGGGGTCAAAAGTCTTTCATCTTTAACTCTTAAATGATCAATATTTTGTGATACATTATAGAAGCAAAGGTATTCATCTTAACGATTTGCAACAATATATGATACAATTAGGACCATATGTTACGTAATTAGGGGTCACAAGGGGCCAGATTTTCAAATCTTTGACGCTTTATATCTCAAAAATGGGGAATATTTTGCTAAGCAATATTGAACAAAAGATGGTCAGAATAATATTCTAAACAATATGCATACTTTGAATTTTTGAAAAATGGCCCCATTAAGGACTTGTAGGAGTGGCCCTTAAAGATTTCCATTTAGCATATCTCCACAACGAATAGAAATCTCTGAATAAGTGTTGAACAAAAAAATCTTCAAAATTACAAGACCTTTCATTTGATATCAAGAAAAAGGGGCTGACACCTTAAAATAGGGGCTTAAAGGGGCCAAAAGTCTTGCATCTGTACCTCTTTAATGATCAATATTTTGGGATACATTACAGAAGCAAAGATATACATCTTAAAGACTTGCAACAACATAATATAAAATTTTGGCCATATCTTACGTAATAAGGGGTCGCAATGGGGCCAAAATGCTATTTTTTGTCATGCTTTACGTCTTGAAAGGAGGGGGGTATTTTTATAAACCATATTGAACAAAAGATGTTCAGAAAATCGTGATAAAAATGAGAAACTTTAAATTCATTGAAGGAAAACTTAATGTCATTCTCTTTTAACGAATATCTCAGTCAAAATCACATCTCATCTTATCGAGAAATTCAACGGAAGACCTACTCGTTGCTCGCAACGAGATCTCATCTAGTTATTATTATTATTGTTTTTTTTTTCTTACCGATTTTGTGCACGCGAGTTCTCGAAAACGGCTCGCTCGATTTTCATGAAACTTTCAGGACTGATAGAGCATGTAAAAAACTAGATATATATTTTTTTGTTTTGATGACGTCACTTCCGGTTTTGAGATTTCCGCGTTTTAGTGATTTTCAGAGGGTCACTTTGTCCGGCAGTTTTCTGAAAAACCACTCAACACAGAAGCATGAAATTATCAGTGATGCTAGAGCAACCTTTGGAGAAGTGAATTTCGTATATCACAACCACCGGAAGTACGAAGTGTCGACGCTCGCTATGGCCCGAAAATAGTCCTACCAAGAATTTCAAAATTTTTAACACCTTTTCTACGATAACTTTTTACCTAGAAATATTTTGTTAAAACATGTAGAACAAAAGAAGTGTAGAATTGCATGATCTTTCAAATGATATCCAAGAAAAAGGGCTGGCCCCTAAAATAAAGGATCCAGAGGGGCCAAAACGTTTTATCTGATATCTCAAAAAGTGTTGACAATTTGTTAAGCATCATAGAAGGAAAGTTGTTCAAAATAATAAATAGCAGAGGCAGAGATCATTTAAAGTCGTTAAAATACCGTCACTTCCGGTCAGGCCGGAAGTATTTGTAAATGGCTCGTTTTTTGCACACAGAACCGTAA